CCATAAGGAAACTATAGGCTTGGGACTGGATGTAGCCCAGTGGTAAATTATGCATGAGGCCCTGTGTTTGATCCCTACCACACGTGCACATGCGTGTGCATGTACACACACACACATACATACATACACATAGAAAAAAAGGCAGAAGAACAGTCTACAGGCCCATCTGGCTTCACTGGCAAATTCCTCCCCCAAATTAAGGAAGAAATAATATCAATCTTACACAAATTCTTTCGTAGAATACGGAAAAGGGGACACTGTTCAACTTGTATTAAGAGATCAAAATAACCTTAACATGAACTCTTGATGCAGATTCCTTACAAAAAAGGAAAATTATAGGCCAATATTTCTTAGAAAGATAGAAAAACAAAAAATAAAAAAAAAACTCAGCAAACCAAACCCATAAAACATAATTATACCACATCATGAGAAACTGAGGTTAATTCCAGAAGTGCAAAGTTAGTAAAATGGTTAAACATCAGTAAATATAATTCAACACATTCTTATAGATAGTTGACCTTAATGGATAAAGTATTTGACATTATAAACAGGTGATCTTAAGGGGAAAGAAAAAATGTTCAACATTTCTTTATGGTAAGAAAAATCTCAGCCAGGTGTGGTAGCACATGGTTGTAATTCCACCAGTTGGGAGATTGAGGCAGGAGGATCTGGGGTCCCAGGCCAGCTTGGGCTATATACAGAACCTGTCTCAGAAAATCAGCCAACCAACCAACCAGCCAACCAACCAAACAAACAAACCTTGAATGAACCAGAAGTAGAAATTTCCTTAATCTAATAAAGGATATCTACAAAAACAAAACAAAACACAAAAAACAAAAGAACCTACAAACAGTAAAATAGCCAACGTAAAACGACACACACACAAAAAAGCCCTCTCTGATCTCTCTCTGTGTCTCTGTGTCTCCCTCCCTCCCCCATCTCTCTCACAGCTTTTGCTGTCTTCTGCATTCATGAGCTGTTGCCCCTCTGCCATGTGCCACCCTGCGTCAGAGCCAGCGAATTATAGATGGAAACCTCTACCAACTGTGAGCTAAATACACTTTTCCCCCTTGAACAAAACAAAAGAAAACAAAGCAAAACAAAACAAAATAAAAACAAAAACTACAGCACTCTGAGAAGCTGCGGTAGCAAGCCTGGGCTACTGAGTGACTTAGTGAGATCTTGTCTCAAAATAATAAAAAAGGGCTGGTGATGTAGCTCAGTGTGAAGGTTCTGGGTTCAGTTCCCAGTACCACAATCAAACAAACCATACTCCACAACTCCAAGAACATATTTAAGAAAATGTGAATGCTCTCTCCCTCCTTCATTGTGAAAATAAAAACAAAGAGGTCCATTCCATAGTTCTATTTAACATTTTAATAAAAATTCTAGTTAGTGCAATAAGGTGAGAAAAGAAACAAGGGGTAGAAAAAATTGAAAAGAGATGAAACAGCCATTATTTGCAGAAGAGAAGATTGTGGCCAAAATGTTCAGAACGTTAATCATTTAGATTTAATTAGTAACTTTATCAAGGTTGTATGGTACAAGATCAATATAGAAATCAATTATACTTTTCTATACTACTAACAATTAGTAAACTAAGTAAAATATAATTTACAATAGTATAATAAATACTTAAGAATAGATTTAATTAGAAAAGTGTTAAGGTGAAATTCAAGAATAGCAAAAACTATTACAAATGAGTGAGGACGATGGTCATTTTTGTGGGGCGTGGGATACGGATGGAAGTGCTGTGTCCCTTGAGCTGAGTGTTGATTGTATGGGTGTTATAGAAAGATGCATTGAGCTGAATGCTGAAGATTTGGTGTTTTTTGTAAGTGATGTTGGATCAATTGCACATCCATATGGAATTAATGAGCCTGGTTTTCTGCCTCACATCTCTGTCTCTGTACAGAAGATACTCATTTCAGGAAAATTAGAAAAGATGAGAATTAGCTTAAATTCCCAACAAGGAAGGAATAACTGATGCACCCTTAAGTTAGTGAGATATGACATTAAAAGTGTTTTAAAGAGTTTGCAGAAACATGGGAAATGCCTACAACGCTGGGTGAGCAAAGCCGATCACAAAAAATCTAGTAAAAGACAATGACAGCTATGTAAAATGTGTGTGGGGAGAAATCTTGGAGGAAGTAATGCTAAGGTGTTACGAGTGCTTATCGGTTGCCTTTGGATGGTGAAATATTGGGGGATGTTTTCCTTATTTTTATTTGTCTGTACCTTATGAAATTTCAAGACTTTTGTGATGGCAGAATGAACTCTGAAAAATATTTTTTCCTTCTAAAATAAAAACTTTGCCCTTAACTTTGTCAACTGCTGTCTTCTTTATTCTTTTAAGCTTTTCTGCTTTTTGTTCTCCCTATGACACACATTCCTAGTTCTTGGGGCTGCGTACTGTATGAGTCTTCTCACTTGCGACCTCCTGTCTGTCCTGTCCAGTTAAGAGGAGGCCTTTGGGCTGGGTCTCTTTGTTGTCAAGTTCACAGATGATGCCCGGGGAGGAGAGGCCGGGAATGTCTCTTTGTTGTCCAGACAAGAGGTCAGAGAACTGGAGTCCAGGTTGTATTTGGAAGGAGAAGGTGAATTGTGCACCCGGTGGATAAGCAATTGTCCTACAGCCTCGATGAGAAATGTTTCAAGTTAGATGCTCCAGGAGGGCACCAGTTGGAGCCCAAGGAGAAAGTCTTATCTATCCCTCTTTGGTCATAAGGCTGAGGTTCTCGCTTCTTCTCTGAGGATCCACAGAAATAAAGCCCATTTTTCCCCTCTCTGGAGAAGTAGAAGCAGCCAGGCAGAGAAAAAACCAGAAGTCTAGGGCTGTGACATTCTCAAGACTGTGGGCAGAGGACTGCGGAGACTGAGCGAGGCACGGTGATTTCTGAAGGAGCGGGACAGACAGAAAGGGAGAAGGGACAGGACACAGAGGAAGGGCTCCAGGCTCAGCGCGCTCCTTTGCAGCCTGAGGCGCGCCCTTGTTTGATAAGGCTCTGGAAAAGCCAGGGCAGTAGCTCTTCTTCCTCATCACCGAGGCAGCTGGGTAGCAGAGTGGTAAAGACCAATGGTGGCAGGAGGTACAAGGGAAGAAGGGGCCCGGGGAGGGACATCCTAACACCTGTGCCCCCAGAGCTACATTTTTATCTGTTCTGTATGTCAGCAGTGCTAGCTAACACTGGCTGCCTAACAAACCTCCCCAAAGCTGAGCGACTTTATTTATTTTTGGTACCGGGAATCGAACTCGGGACCTCATGCTTGCCAAGCAGGCGCTGTGCCACTGAGCTACATCCCTGGCCAACTTTAAACTGCAACCTTTCCTGTTTAGCTTCAGATTCTGCAGGTCAGCAGTTTGGCCTGGGCCGAGCTGAGGCAGAGGTCATTTGGGTCTGGATCAGCCTCTGCTGATTGTGGCAAGGCCTTCCTCACCCTTGCAGGGCTCTGGAGAAGCGGAGCTGGCTGACTGAGGGCTGCTATGCTGCCTTCTCCCCTGGGGCCTTTCCTGCTCCAGTAGTGAGGAATAGCTTGGGCTCGTTTACAAGTTGCCTTCAGATTCCAGGGCAGGGAGAGAAGGAAGCCCCACAGCACATGCCAGGTGTGCCCTTGGCTCTGCCTTGTGCATAGGAGAGTGGCGGAACCGGTGCAGTGCACCTCAGGGAGGGAAGGGAGTCTCAGGCCTCTCAACTGGGGCTCCCACATCCCACGCACACCTCCCGGGTTAATCGATGGGAGAGGGGCCTCTTAGTGAGTTCTTCCTGGGATTTCCTCCTCCATGTTCTCAAGGATGATATTTCATACTTTTAAAACATCACATATGATCTATGCATGCATGTGCATATTATGAAAATAAAGAACAATGAAATAATGTATAATCATGAATTTATCTCAGCCCATTAACATTATCTCAGATCATTAACAATAATTCACTTATATTTCACCTACGTGCTTTTCTCTTATGCCATCCTCCTCACTTCTCAGGAGAGGTAACATTTCACATTTTGCATTTTTCCATTCCATTAAAAAAGTTAAAATTATCTAGGAGTGGTGATGATTTTCTTTTTTTTTTTTGGTTTTTCTCCGGTACCAGGAACCGAACTCACGACCTTGCACTTGCCAGGCAGGCGCTTTGCCGCTGAGCTAAATCCCCAGCCCTAGGAGTGGTGATGTACTCCTATAATCCCAGCGCTCAGAAGGCTGAGGCAGAAGGATTGCTCCGAGTTTGAGGCCAACCTGGGCTGAGTTTAGGACCAGCCTAAACTACATAGCAACATCCTGTCTCAACAAGCAAACAAACTATTTGTTGAGGGGAAAAGAAAACAAAACAGCAATATATTGTAAAGATATGAATACCAATGATACAAAACCAATATTCACGATTTTTGATTTTTTGCTGTGATACAATATGCATAAGGTAAAATTTGATTTTAACTATTTTTAAGTGTACAACCCAGCAGCATTAGTTGCATTAGCACTCTTGTGCAACCATTGGTGCTGTTTCTAAAACTTTTTCATCACCCCAACAGAAACTCTGTCCAAATTAAGCAATGACTCCCCATTCTTCCCTCCTCCCAGCCCCTGGTATTTTATCTACATTCTTTTTCCAGGAACTTGCCTATTTTAGATATTTAATGTAAGTGGATTTTGTAGCATTTGTTCTTTTGGTTTTGGCTTTTCTATGATGCTTTCCAAGTGTATTCATGCTGTAGCATGTTATCAGCTCCATCCCTTTTTTGTACAGGTGGATAATGTTCCACTGTATAAATATACCATATTTCTTTATGTGTTCATCTGTCGATGGACACATGGCTTGTTTCCACTATTTTGACTCTTGTGAAAATGATGCAATGAACACTGGTGTGCAAGTCTCTGAGTCTCTGATTTTAATTCTACCTAGAAGTGGAATTGCTGGGCGCCTTAGTTACTTTTCTATCATTGTTGAGACAAAGTACCACATACCCAAAATCAAGGAAGGAAAAGCTTATTTAGCTCACAGTTTGTGGAGGTTCCAGTCCATAATCCAGTGGCTCCAAGGCAGAGTGGTGTGGCAGAAGGGAGATAGTTCAAAGTAGCAGAAGACAGCAAAAGCAACATAAGAAAAAAGGGAGGAGTGAGCAAGCAAGCAAGCGCCTATCTTCTCTTTTATTGTATGCAAGCTACCCGCCCCAGGGCAGGTGCAGCACTCACACCCATAATCCCAGCATTGGCCCAAACAAATTCTAGAAGCCTGCCGCATGACTGCATCAGACTTTAGGGGGACATCCAGATACAAACCATAACACTGGGTCATATGGGAATTCTATGTGTAACCTTCTGAAGAACCAACAAACTTTTCCACAGAGAACACGCTATTTTACATTCCCACCAGAAATGTATGAGGGCTCTAATTTCTCTGCGCCCTTTCCCATACTGCTGTATGTGTATGTGTGTGGTTGTGTATTCTTTTCTTATAGTTACTCTAGTGGAGATGAATGGTGTCTTCTTGTGGCATTTCCCTAATGGCATTTTTTGGATGATATTCATCATCTTCTCATACGTTTTAAAAATGTCTACTCAAATCCTTTGTCCACATTTTAATTGGATTTTTTTTTTACATATTTGCAAATATTTTCTCCCATTCTGTGGATTACCTTTGTACTTCTTTTGATACACAAAAATTTATTTGGATGAAGCTATTTTATCATTTGTTTGTAATTTTGGTGAATCTATTACCAAATTTTACTTTGTTTTGAACTCTGTAACAGTGATATAATTTTTCTTTTTTTGAGAGAGGGTCTCGCTATGCAGTTCAGGCTGGCCTTGAACTCACTATATAGCCCAGGTTGGCCTCAAACTTGTGGCGATCTGCCTGCCTCAGCCTCTTGAGTCCTGGGATGACAGGTGTGCACCACCATACCTGGCTCTAGAGTGATATCAATTTGAGTGTAATCTAGAATTTTATTTTTTTAAAATCAGGTTTATAAGATTATCTATGTTCTTTTGTTGTTCATGCATTTCATGACTATAACATTCCCTTATGTGAATATACTACACATTATTTACCTGTTCTCCTACTGATAGATATTTGTGTTTTTCCAGTTATTTCGCTATTACATCAATGCTGCTATGAATATTCCAAGTGATTTTATGGACAGTCTAGCCTAACTTTTTTTTAAAAAATGACTAAAGTATGGCTGGCGATATAGCCCAAAGGTGCAAGCGCCAGACTGGCAAGTGCAAGGTCCTGAGTTTAATTCTTGGTACCAAAAAAAAAAATCAATAAATAAATAAAGGGATTTTTAATTGAGCTGCTACTTTCAGTGGAACCATACTTGGAATGTATAGGTACAGATATTTAGCTGAAACAGTCATTTTTCTCATCTACCTGTTTGGACTAATTCCTGGGCCATAAACTACAAGAATCATTGCCGTTGAATGTGGTCTGTGCCAAGCTACCCTGTAACTCTAACTCTATGATTTGTTGAAGACAGTAATAGTGAAGATCTGATAATCATGTTTCACTGATTTTGACTGGCGAGCTTATAAATGATATGGAGTTACCCAAGTAAGGGGGGCAAAATGACTGTGAAAGGGAACGTTTTCTTTACAGCCCCATGTAGGTTGTGGGGTGTCTGTACAGGGTTTGAAACAACTCAAAGGCCTTTTTGGGAGCTGGAAATCCTCCAGAACAGACAGATTTACAGTTGTGTGCCAGTCTATACCTTTAATCTTGTGCGATTTCTTGCAAGAAGCAATCAGAGAAGACACAATAAACACAGTTTACTGATTGCAAGTTGGGGAGCTTTTAGCAATAGGGGAATGTCCACAGAGGTGGGGGAAATGATTATGAAAAGGAAATTCTTTCATTGCAGTTTTCTTGTAGCTAAGCTAGGTTGCAAGAACGTCTCCAAATGGCTTGAAATAACTCAAAGCAAAGTCATTTTATACGCTGAAAACTCTCCAAAACAAAGAACCAGACTGAGTTTCCTCCTGCCCGACTGCTGTTTTCTGGGAACACTTTTGGCAGGTACACGGGGTCGTAAAGTTGCCAGATTTCCTCGGGGGTTGGTAAAATAACACCAACTGTGATGCAAGAGCTCAGCTCCTAAGAGAGGCTTGTGGTTTTGTTACTGGAACATGTCAGTGACCTTAACAAGGCCGAAACTGTGTAAACAGGGGAATTACACATTAAGGAGGTGGGGTCAGGTCTTGGGGCATAAAAGGCTGAGCTGGTGCCCCTCAGCACCGCTCTTCCAGAAGCAAGACAAGCCAGAAGATGAGGTGAGTCTCTCCACACTTCAAGTTCTGCATCCCATCCTTGTTCTCACAGACCAGTACAGCACAAGCTTAATGGAGAGATGCAAAGCTGTAACAAGGAAACGGGGCAAATGGGCTCTGCTGTAGCGAGTACGGGACTTAGTGTATGAAGTCTTCTCTGGCATGGGTAAAAGAGGGTGCTTTCAGACAGTGCCTTCTTTGCCGGGAGATGGGATCCACTCAGATTTTATCAGGATGGAAAGCCGTTCTGAAATAGTGAAAGAATAAGACCAGAAACTGAACACCCCCAGGCAATCCCTGAGCGGTAGCATCTGCAGGCAGGATGGGTACCTGGTAAGCATGGCCTGTATTCTCATGGCCACGGCCATGGCTGTGCTTTCAGGAAGCCACTTCTCCTCCAGGCAGCCTCCTGGCATTCTTTTTTTTTTTTTTTTTATCTTTTTGAGACAGGGTCTCGCTCTGCAGTTCAGGCTGGCGTTGAGTGCACTTTGTAGCCCAGGCTGGTCTCAAACTTGCAGTGATCCTCCTGACTCAGCCTCCCGAGTGCTGGGATTACAGGTGTGTGCCACCATGCCCGGCAATTCTTGGTTTTATACACCATTCCTTCAAGCTAATGCTCATAACATAATAGGAGCAAGTACATATAGATTTTAAATTATAAATTAAAAATCATTTGTTATGGGAAAATTTTAAGAAGTAGAGAGGCTAGTATAATAACCCCTAGGTTCCCATCTTCAAGTTAGCTTCCTTTTATTAGCAGTGTCTTTGAAGCCCAGTTGTTCAGGGATGTCTGTGGGAGAGTTCTTTTTGCTAGAGAGCTCATAGAGTCAATTTAATGCTTCCTGGACACAGCCAGAAACTGAGACCCGCTTAGCTCTGTGCTTTCCTATCTTGGTGCTACCTTTCTGAAGCCTATCTGGAATTCTGGGCAGCATGAAGCTTGCCGGAAGCTGGGTATGCTGAGAGCTGCTAAAGCGGGTGGGTGGGTGGGTGCAACTTCTTGGTCCCAGCACTTCATGTATCCATTTTCTGGGTTTGTGGGAGGGGTCTGTGTGGATGCGTGTGTGCGTGTGCGTGCATGTGTGTGCGTGAAGCAGGGAGACCAACTTTATACTCCTTGTCATCTCTCTGCAGTGCTCTGGGAGCTCTTGTCACCCTCCTGCTCTGGGGACAGCTTTTAGCTGTGGACATTAGCAATGATGTCACAGATATTTCAGGTAGGTCTTGCGTCTGAGCAGGAGCCGTGCATCGGCTGCTCTGCTGCGGTGCGCTCAGATCCCACCTGGTCTGCTGGGTCCTTTAGGGAAGACCCAGCTCCCCCCTCTCACCTGTGGTCCCCTGCCCTTCCCTTGGTTTCCATGTGGAGGTAGGGAGCCTGATTTGCAGAGTGGCTTCCTCTTATCTGACTTTTTACAGGTTCCTGGGAACAATTTCTAGATTTTCGCTTCCTTTTCTGGTGTCCTTTCTTTTGCAGACGACAGCTGTCCTAAGCCCCCTGAGATTGCAAATGGCTATGTGGAGCACCTGGTTCGCTATCAGTGTAAGCCGTACTACAAGCTGCGCACTGAAGGGAACGGTAAGACCCGGACGAGTCCGCCCTGCGCACACCCACCCTCACATCCCCATGATGGTGGGGCTGGGCTGGCCGGTAGTTCCCAGGGACTACTTGGGGCCAGAGATCTGGACTCTCCTAAAGGTTTTGTCATCAGTAAAGCCATCCTTTGAGCAAACCCACTTCTCAGTCCCAAGTTTTTCTTTTGATCAGGGGAGGCAATGCCACGTACGCTGCCTGTCTCACAGTAAGACCTCTAAGAGAGGAGTGCGTGCCTGCTGCTTTCCCTTCGTTCTCACAGCCCTCCTGTGAAGAGATACTGTTATCAGGAGGAGGAAACTGAGGCACAGAGCGCTTGAGGATCTCGCCCGAGTTCACACAGCCTGTGAGGGGCAGTCAGGATCTCAGCCCTGATCCCGACCTATCTTGTCAAGACCTCCCTGACCACGGTCTTCCCACCGCTCAGTTAGCACAGCGCTCCTCCTGTTCCTTCTCGCCCGCACTATCTTCCTCTTCCCTCTTCATCTCCCTCCTAATTCCTTTTTAATACCTCCTCATCCTGCAATAGTCCAGACTTCATTCCTCTCTGGGCTCACTTCTTTCCTCTTGTTTCAGGAGTGTACACCTTAAACAGTGAGAAGCAGTGGGTGAATGAGGTCACTGGAGAGAAACTTCCAGAATGCGAAGCAGGTTCGTGCCAAGGGTTCAGTGTGTGGGGAGCCATCTTGGTTCAAAGGTCACAGAGCCCATTCACTCCTGTGTGGTTTCCCCTGAGCATACAAAAGCCAAGATGAGGGATCAGGGAGAACCACAGAATATGGGGCTGACCTGGTCAGTAAGGAGATGACTCTCAGGGGAGCTCAGAGAGCAGCTTGTTCAGTTAGGCCTGAGGGAACTGGCTCAATTCACTGTCTACACTGCCTGATCAGGAGACCTAGGTATACAGGCAGCCTACCTAGAGAGCCAGGGTGAAGGGTAAAGCAAGCTCTGGGAAGAATGTGTCAAGGGAGGATGTGAGAGAAGCAGAACCCATGGAGGCAGGGAGGCTGGGGGGGGGTGGGGCTCCTGTTTTTCCTGGTCAGGAAGAGCTTTTGCTCTCCTCTCTCCTCTGGGAACAGAGGATTTGCCCACCTTCTGCTGTCAGTGTGTGGGGCCGCCAAGTTGCCGTGGGTTAATTGCCCTGTCTGTAGAGTCTGTGTTCCTGCCTACACTGCTTCAGCCTGTTTAGTCCGTGGAAAGGGATCCCACCGCTCCCAGCCCTTCCAGTGTGTTCCGGGGAGGTGTGGAAATTCTTCTCTAACATACTCCTCTGATGACATGTTTAAATAACCATTCCGCTCCTCTGCCAGGGTTTAAAATCTTGGTGTTACTATTTCTTTAGTGGGTTAGAAAAGCAGAAAATAGAACTCTGCTTTGTGACGTAAACAACAAAAAACCATTATTTTACACTGTAAATACTGGAAACAAGACGGGCAGGGATAAGGGCAAAGCATCTGAATAATTCTAGCTTTGAAACACGTGAAGAAAGCGTGTAGGCGGCGGCAACACCCACCCCTTTCGCCGCGTTCGGGAGGGAGGCGCATCCGAATTTCCGCTCACGGCTGTCTCGCTCTCCCCGACAGTGTGCGGGAAGCCGAAGAACCCGGTGGACCAGGTGCAGCGCATCATTGGTGGCTCTCTGGACGCCAAAGGCAGCTTTCCCTGGCAGGCTAAGATGATCTCCCGCCATCATCTCACCACGGGGGCCACGCTCATCAGTGAACAATGGCTTTTGACCACGGCCAAAAACCTCTTCCTGAATCACACAGAGAACGCCACGGCAGAGGAGATTGCCCCTACTCTGAAACTTTTTGTGGGAAGAAGGCAGCCAGTGGAGATTGAGAAGGTGGTTTTCTACCCGAACTATTCCACAGTGGACATTGGGCTCATCAAACTCAAACAGAAGGTGCCTGTCAATGAGCGAGTGATGCCCATTTGCCTGCCTCTGAAGGACTACGCGGAGGTGGGGCGCGTAGGTTATGTGTCTGGCTGGGGGCGAAATGCCAACTTTAGATTTACTGAGCACCTCAAGTACGTCACCCTGCCCGTGGCTGAGCAGAACAAATGTGTGGAGCACTACGAGGGCAGCACAGTCCCCGAGGAGAAGACCCAGAAGAGCCCTGTAGGGGTGCAGCCCATCCTGAACGAGCACACCTTCTGTGCCGGCATGTCCAGGTACAAGGAGGACACCTGCTATGGTGATGCTGGCAGCGCCTTTGCCGTTCACGACCTGGAACAGGACACCTGGTATGCAGCCGGGATCCTGAGCTTTGACAAGAGCTGCACTGTAGCCGAGTATGGGGTATACGTGAAGGTGCCCTCCATCCTGGACTGGGTTCGGAAAACCATGGCCGACAACTAATGCAAGGCTGGCCGGAAGCCCTTGCCTGGTAGCAAGGGAAAGGTGGATGGGGCAGGATCGGTTCTGAGCTGCTGGGCATCAGCCCTGCACTGCTGTGTCAGTCAATAAAGAGACTGCTTTAGACTCATTTCTGCGCTCAGAATGCTTTTATTTAGATGGGGGCCTTTTCATTCTCTCATCTATGGTACTGGGCGGCCAAGCGGCATAATTTGCTGGAAATATGGCAGACAGTTGTCCAAGCCACTGAAAATCCCTGAGGTGATAGTGTCCCACACTGGGGAGTCACGCTCAGTGGTTACGTGCCCACTGAATGCCAAGTCTGACAGCTCACTGTTACCCTTGTTTTACAGACAAGCAAACTCGGAGGGGTGAAGTGCTGCGCCTAATGTTACATAGCTATTTAACAGGGAAGCCGAACTTGAACCTGACCTGTCCGAATGCAAACTCAGAGCTCTTTTCACTCCACTCTGTTGCCTCTTTGAAGAGGATTAGCAGGAAGGGTGCAGGCCTGGAGGGAAGATGCTTGCCCAAGGGTGAAAACAAGTGTGGACATGGGCAGTACTTTTACTGGTTGTGCGCCCACCTACCGGTGTCCCAGAAAATAAAGCAGCAGAAAGGCAGGATCTTGACTTGCTGGGTCCAGGTCACAGTGCAGCCCACAGATGTGCTGAATGCTCTCAGCCCCTGGGCCGTGATCAGTTCCCTGGTCTCGTCCACGACGGGCGTAAACTAGATGAGATCTCTGAAATCTCTACCAGTCACAAGGCTCTGAGGTATTTTTGCAGAGTTCTGAGTCTCTTTCTCAGCAGGAAATGCTTTTCTGGGCTTGTAACCCAGCCTCTCCTAGGAGTCAGATGCAAGCGTGATCTTCTAATGCCCCGAGATAAGGGTCTTGCTACTTAGGCTCCCCCAGGAGAAAGGCGAGAGGGAAGCTTTCTGTGAATCCTTTCTCCTACAATCCTCTACCTTCTCATCATGCCAAACACATGGCCTTTCCTTCTCATGCTGTAAAAGGCCACTGATGTCGCTATGTTCTCAGCAGGGTCTGCTGTTCACTCTGAAGCGCTCTTCCCATGTGCTTCCCCAACCCGTAACATTCCACCTGGTCAGAGCTAGTGCACCGAGGGGGACCGAGACCTATGTTTTTAGAACCTGGGAAGGAAGCAACTGCCAGAAGCTGAAAAATAATACACTTACAAAAAGCTTCTCAGGAAGCAGCAAGTTACATTTTCTTTCAGCAGTATCAACACTAAGTTTTCTAGAACAACCCACCCGTTTTTGAACAATTATGACTGTACTAGGTGCTTCTTGGCCATACCCAGAAGTGATAAAAAGAAAATCTCTGCTATATTCTCAATCACCTATCTTCTCTGCCTCTTTCCTCCCATCTAACTGGCCTCCTCCTTGGCTTCCTGGAACAGGCCCTGTATCATTCTCTGAGCCTCCCCGCCTGCAAAAGGACCTCCTGCTCTCCCTGTGACTCGAGCGGCACCTCCTCTCAGAAAGCTTTATCCTTGTCCAGGACTCACCCGAATGCAGCACCTAGCATTTGATGGGGCATACAGCACATATTCAGTAAATTACTTATGGAATGGAAAGCAACTAAGATCAGATCTAAAGTATAAATCAGGCCTTTCGAGCATGATGAGAGAATTTTACGCATGCAAGTTCTCAATTTTTACTGGTATCTGAGCACTTACTGCGTATCAACTACTGTAATTCAGGCTGGAGAACAGAAAATCTGACTAAGTGACTTGGCGAGGAAGATATGTTATTCTTTCATAGCAGTCTGGAGGGACGCAGGTCTGGAGTTTACTCAGGAGCTCAATAACATCATCACGGGTCATAGTCTTTTGGAAGGAGGTAGTACTGGGGACTGAACCCAGGACCTTGCACAGGCTACACAAGAATTCTGCCACTGAGCCATACCTCCGTCCTTTTTAAGAATTTTGAGACGGTCTGCTAAATTGCCCAGGGTGGCCTCCAACTCGTGATCCTCCTGTCTTAGCCCGTTTAGGCTGGGATTATAGGCACGCACCACCATACCTGATGATGAGACTGTATTAAGATTATTCTCAGCGTATTAATTTTTCATCCAGATGCTGGATACCTCATGGCCCAAAATGCGTATGATTAAAATCAAAAGGAGGTAGGGGAAGAGAGAAGGCAGAGGTAGTTCTGTTTTATTCCCGCACGGCCTCTCTCCTTTTATCAATATGGGACGCCAACGCCCCCAACAGCCTTTCTTCCGAGCCACATCAGCCAGCGCCAACTCTTGTGGTCACCACACCTGCAGGACCATCCTGAGGAGCAGCACCGGGCAGAGGGGGTGGACTGGCAGTGGCAGTGCCCCCCCACAGAACTGGGCCTCTGCTGGCAGAATCAGTGGCTGCCCGGCCCACTCCCTGCAGCTCGGCGTCCATCCTCTTATTCTGGGACCTCAGGATCAACAGCCGACACAGGCGTGAGAGAAGCAGTGACTTATCCAAGGCTGCCAGGAGGACTGTGGGGAGCAAAAGATCTTCATAAAGTCATTAGAACTGGCAAGTCTTCTAACGATATTTTTTTTTTTCTGAACAAGGCTGACATCTTTGCAGTCTTAAGTCTTTGAAATACCATTTTCTGCCTTAGAGGGAAGTGGCAATTCTGACTTCCGGCAGAGCCCAGCTTCTTACTAAGCGAAGTTAAGTCTTTGTTTCGCTCAAGGTGGGTGCTGGACGGTGGAGGTTAATTCTCGATTTGTGAGAGACTGAGTATCACAGCAGCTGGTTAAATGAGCCGACAAAGGCAGTGTTTCAAAAGTCTGAGTCAGAAAGGCTGCGGAACAAAATGAACTTGCCGGCTAGCAGCAGGGAATTTCTGAGAGAAACTCGGCCTGGAGATGGGAGGGCGTGAGGGACACGGTGAGGCACCGGCGAGGGTACGTGGGGTGTGAGCGTGGTCCCACACATGCACGTACATCTAGGGGAGAAATTAAGTATTTTTGCTTTTATAGGACCCTTCATTTCCTTGTTCATCAGACAGCTAAACTCTCCGGGCCTGTGTTTAGGTGTCGGCGTCATCCTCCGGGATAAAGAAGAGCACGGTATGAAGAGAAGCTAGAAAAGTCACCCTGGGGAAACTGAACAGGTGGCCTGGCTGACCCGAGGCCCACGGGGAGTACCCAGACCGGCAGGGACCCAGACCGTTGGACCACTGGTGGGGCCTCCCGCCCAGGGGACGGGAATTTTACAGACAAGACGAACTCTTCTCTGCTGGGACGTGGAACACGTTTCTGGGGGACTCCAGAGAAACAGCACGGCTGGACTCAGGCACGGTCTCACCACGCGCCTTTCTCTTCTCCAGCAGCAGCAGATGTGCTAAATGTCTTGATAGAGCAGGTCGTATTTGGGGATATTCTTGGGATCAATAGGACTTTGGACGATGAGTTTCCCCCTCATCGCTCCTCGATAGATGACTTCGATCAAATCTATGAAGTCTTGTTTAGTTTTGAAACTTCCCACAAACTTGGTGTGATCTGGAGACCTAGACAGCACAGAAGAGAAACACGCGCTCTCAGGACTTTTAACAATTGCTTGCTGCAGACTTGCTGGACATACAAAACGAAGACTGGCTTCCTTTCTCCTCGGGGAGACTCAGACATATAGCCTGACATTTGATTTTTCCCACTTGCTATAAGACACATGACTAAAACCAGTGTTGTGGGCCACTGACATGAAAGCCCTGGCATGTGAAATATTCTGCTTTGAAGCCTACTTCAATCACTTTGCAAATAACTGCTAAGGAGAATTCCCTGAGCATTGGAGTAGGCATTGTTTCCTTAGTGTTTCTGTACAAAACCCATTACCCAGTCCTAGGCTCCCAACTTCCTGTCATTTATACCTTTGAGTTGTTGGTATTATCAACTTTTTTTTTCTTGACACAGGGTCTCACTATGTAGTTCATATTGGTCTACAACTCACCCTGTAGCCTAGGCTGGTCTTGAACTCACAACATCCCCCTGCCTCAGCCTCCCAAGTGCTGGGATTACAGGTGTGCGCCACCATGCCTGGGCTTGTTGGTATTATCAAATTACTTTTTAAAACATACTTTAAGTACCAGGTATACTTACTGTAGAAGTATTTTAGAGAAAAATAAAATCACCAATGAGGTCAGAAGTCACCTTTTGGTGTGCATCCTTCTCATATTTTGTGTATGTCTGTGCACGTGAATACTGTATTTCTTTTTTCATGACAATGGGAACCCCATCACAAGTTACTTGGTGGTATGTCTTCAACTAACTGTTATTTTTTCCAAAGTCACTGTATTTAATTATTGAAAAAAGTAATTACTTGGTTAAAATACTGGAACACTTTGGTGGTATTGATATATAGTATCATAAATGCCTTCTAAAAAGGTTGTATCAAACTAATACTTACATCAACTGTGATCCGGGAAAATAAACAGCTTTAAAGCATTTAAGAATAGAGTGTTTAACTTTCTTTCAAACAGGTAATGACAAAACATGGCCAAGGAATACATACTTCAATCAGAGTAAGAAATGATAAGAATATGGATATTTAGTATTGGGACACTAACTAGATACAGTGGAAAGGGTTAAAGATGAACACATTATTACTGCTTATTTTGGCAGGATTTCTATTTTTTTTTTTTTGGTTTTTCTCTGGTACCGGGAACCAAACTCACGACCTTGCGCTTGCCAGGCAGGTGCTTTGCCGCTGAGCTAAATCCCCAGCCCCTAGCAGGATTTCTTGAAGAATGACTTGGAAATTCTCTGAGTGGCAGAAGACATTTAGCAAGAGAGAAATGTATCCTTCTTTGCTGGCAGGAAGGCTTCTTTTATAAATGCCACTCCTCGGTCCTAAAAGTTTAAGAATAACTGCATATGCTGCTTTCAATAAAATTTCTGGGGAACCTTTTACATTCAGTACTTAGCTAACAGAGCTGCTTTATATTTTCTAGATTTAACAATGGTCTGTGCTTCACAAACTGTAACTACTCTTTCCTGATTAAGCTGGAAATTAAAACTTGCCAGTCATGTCTGAAATGCACTCAATCTGTGCCGGTTTCATGTAAAATATGAAAGAGTGCATCAGCTCAGAAAATATCGTGGTACTAACGATCACAGAGGTAGCCGCGCACATGAACAGTAAGCTACTGAAGCTGCTTTGATAAAGGAAACTTTCAAGATTGGAATGACTTCAAAGCCAACCTCACTTACCCATAATCCACTTTCATGTGCTGCCCATTGAAGAAAAATACAGTAGATGGAATATAACTGATGTCAAAATACTGTGTGTACACCGGCGTGTCGGCCACGTCTACCAGGTATATAGCAGCCATTTTACTCAAGTCAGGAGCCGTCTTAGAAAGCTGCAAATGACAAGAGAGATGGAGGCCACAGCATGAGAAACAGCGAAGAAGAAAACAAAAGCCCCAGAAAACTGGTATGAGAAATGGCTAAGGTTTCTTCTATGACACGCTTCACTGTCACATTTTGTTTGAGGAAATTCTTGGGCGAAGGATCTAGCTGTCTGGGTTCCACATCAGACACAGTGTAGCCCTGGTGAGGCTGAGCCACTGCTGACAGGGTTATGAGAGTGCCTGGGAAAATATGTTTCTTCTTTAAATTTTTTGTCTTTTTTTTTTTCCTTGAGACAGGGTCTTGCTATGTAGTTCAGGCTGGCCATGAACTCACAGTGACTCTCCTGCCTCAGCCTCCTGAGTGTTTTGTCTAAGTTTGACTAGTTATTTTCCTTTTTTTTCTTTTTCAGTAATAAAGATTGAACCCAGGGTCTTTGCACTGAATTACATTCCTGATCCACTTTTTTTTTGGTTTTGTATTTTGAGACAGTATCTTACTAAGCTATTAAGTTGCTCAGGGGAGGCTTAAACTTGTGATTCTCCTGCCTCATCTTCTTAGAGTGCTGGGATTATCAATAGACACCACCATGCCTGACTCCTGTTTGATTATTTCTACAGAAATCACCTATACTGTAGTCTCAATGTGGCTACGGGTATAACTCCATGGTAGAGTTCTTGCTTAGCATGCATGGAACCCTGGGTTTGATCCCCAGCACTGTAAAAGCAAAAGCAAAAACCTAACATACTTGCTTAAAAAAACTTCAGAAATATGTCCTAAGAGCTTTACATTTGTTAATCCATTTAATACTTACCACATTCCTATGAGGTATGGATTATTAGTCCCCATTTTATAGATGAAGAAACTGAGGGCCAATAAGGTAAAGTAACTTATCCCAGGTCAAATAGCTACTACCTAAAAGCAGCAGGGTGGTGATTTGAACTCTGGTGGCCTGGCTTCAGAATCTATGCATCT